AGGGAGTGGACTGGGAATGGGCTGGAATGAGCTGGAAATGGGCTGTGAATGAGCTGGGAATGGGCTGGGAATGGACTGGGAATGAGCGGGGAGTGGGCTGGAATGGGCTGGGAATGGGCTGGGAATTAGCTGGGAATTGACTGGGAATGAGCTGGGAATGGGCTGGAATGAGTCCGAATGAGCTAGGAATGAGTGAGGTGGCCAAGCTGGGAACGAGCTGGGAATGGGCTGGGAATGAGCTGGGAGTGAGTGGAGTGGCCAAGCGCAGGATTCAGCCCCAACTCATAGAGCCAGCTCCTCTGTGAGCGGCTTTTCCAATAGGAATTGGGGCTCCTGCGAGCCCCACCCGGGATGGGAGCTGGGGATGAGCTGGAAATGAGCTGAGAATGAGCAAAGTGACCAAGCACAGGATTCAGCCCCAACTCACAGAGCCAACTCCTCTGGGAGCGGCTTTTCCAACAGGAATTCGGGCTTGCCCCAGGGCCCTCAGGGAGGGCAGCAGTGGAGTCGGAAAGAGGAGGAGAATCCCATCCCATCCCATCCCATCCCATCCCCTGTTTCTAGCCAAGGTAAGAACAGTGTGTCTGTCCCTTGGCCGGGAGGGGACACGGTGGGTGAAGGATGGAGCAGTCTCCGTTAAAACCTTCAGGGTCCTGCCCTTTTCCCTCCATCCCGCTGATCCCACGGCCTGGAGCCCTCCTGGCTCAGGAGCCGGGGATTTCTCTTCCCTGAGCAGGAATCGCTTTGATTTTTTCCTTGATCTTTAAGCCTCGGAGGCGCAGGGCTGAGCCAGAGCCGGGGAGGATCCGGGGCTGACTCTGGGGAGGCGATTCCGCCGTGGTGAGGAGGTGGAGAGGGCAGGGAGAATCCACACATCCCCTGGTGGACGGGACAGGGAAAATCAGTATATCCTTGGTGGATGGGACAGGGAAAATCAGGATATCTTTGGTGGATGGGACAGGGAAAGTCCACACATTCCTGGTGGAAGGGAGAGGGAAAATCAGGATATCCTTGATGGATAGGACAGGGAAAATCCCACAGCCCTGGTTGATGGAACAGGGAAAATCAGGATATCCTTGGTGGATAGGACAGGGAAAATCCYACAGCCCTGGTGCAGGGGACAGGGAAAATCCACACATTCCTGGTGGAAGGGACAGGGAAAATCAGGATATCCTTGGTGGAGGGGACAGAGAAAATCAGGATATCCTTGGTGGATGGGACAGGGAAAATCAGGATATCCTTGGTGGATAGGACAGGGAAAATCCACACATTCCTGGTGCAGGGGACAGGAAAAATCAGGATATCCCTGGTGGATGGGACAGGGAAAATCCACACATTCCTGGTGGAAGGGAGAGGGAAAATCAGGATATCCTTGGTGGATGGGACAGGGAAAATCAGGATATCCTTGGTGGATGGGACAGAGAAAATCCACACATTCCTGGTGGATGGGACATGGAAAATCAAGATATCCTTGATGGATAGGACAGGGAAAATCCCACAGCCCTGGTGGATGGGACAGGGAAAATCAGGACATCCCTGGTGGATGGGATGCCCCAAAATTCAATCACAAACTGGGATGGCCCCAAATTCAGACATGGACTGAGATGGCACTAAACTCAGACTGGTATTGCCCCAAATTCAATCATGGACTGGGATGACCCCAAATCCAATCATGGACTGAAATTCCACCGAGAGTCTGTCTGCTGCTCCCTGTTGCTGCAGCCTCAGGGATCCTCATTTCCCTGCAATTCCCAATGCCGGGGGTCTGATTCCCCACAAAGCTCCCGTTAAAAAACGAGGGCGTTCTGACTGCAGCGCTGTTGTGCTGTGAACAGGGGCACAAAAACCCTTCTTTGGGGGGGATGTGCCCCCCGCCGGCACCGTCTGCCCAAACAGGGGGGTTCGGGGGGGTTCACGGGGTCACGGAGCCGCCTGCCCCGCTAATGAGGCCGGGCAGCCCGGGGGCAGCTCCCCTCTCCCGGCCAGCTCGGATTAGCAGCTGCCTGTCCCCAGCCCTAATTGAATTCTCTCCCCTTCACTTAATTCTCATGGATTTCTCGGCGCCTCCCCAGGGACCCCTCCTGCCTAACTAGTTTAGGGCCAGCTCTGCTGGCCRGAGCCTGGCCGGCTCCGGGGGATGGGGGCAGAGCCACCTCGCCGGGGGTGGCGGTGGCTGGGCTGGGGACACCGGTGCTGCCACTGGGCACCCCCTCCCCTGCGCCAATTTCATCCCCTCACCACGAAGCGGCTCCTGATGATAATTTTTGGCAAGCAGGGATAATTTTCTGCCTTACAGGAGGGTTTTATGCCTGCTGCCTGCCAGGACCCCCCTTTTTTTAACCAAAACCGTGGGACCCCCCCACCCAGCCAAGCTCCGCGGGTTCCTCCCGGTGCAGCTCCGAGCGAGCCCCCAGCTCCGCTCTCTCTCTCTCTCCCTTCCTTCCTTCCTTCCTTCCCAGCGCTTGATTTCTCCCTTCCCCTTTTCCCTTCCCTTCCCCTCCTCTTCCGATAGATCAAAGCCTCCGTCCGGCTCAGCCGGGAGCCGAGCAGGCCCCGCAGCGGGATGGAGGCATCACCGGGCGCRATGTCCCCGCTGTCACCACCCCTGGCTGCCAGCGCCCCTCGCCGCGCCCTGCRGCCCCCTCCTGCCCCTCCAGGCCGGGAATAAAGCTGGGATTTGTCCCTGCTTTTGTCTCGGCAGCCGTTGGGGAACAAGCAGCTGGCCTTCCAGCAGCAGCTCCTGCAGATGCAGCAGCTCCAGCAGCAGCACCTGTTAAACCTGCAGCGCCAGGGGCTGGTGAGCCTCCCGCCGGGGCAGGGCACCGTGCCGCTGCAGAGCCTGCCCCAAGGTAGGGACCAGGGG